CAGTTTTAGTCAAGATGCAAGCAGTGTCTCTTATGCAAATACAAAATAAACTCCAATGGGTCAGCCAAAAATTAGTGAGAGAGAACAATATAAAACCTTAAACCAGATGTCACTGCTACAGTTGTGTGAACAGCAAGTAGCAAGGAAAGATCAGAAAGTCCTGTGCACAACCAAGCTTTGTAAACTTACTGTCAAGAGTTGCCTGTGTTCCAACACCGCTGTGCCCATTCTGTAAACAAAGGAGAAAGGAATGAATAAATTGTCTTAGAGGTATATTAAATTTTCAGACTGAATCACACATCAAACATGCTTCATGCAAAATTCCATATTCATTCCAAATTGAAAGACAAGAAAGGCAGTAAATTAACTTTTTTACTGCCTTTAACAAAACCACATAATACTTGTTTCAAGTGCAAGGTGTCCTGAACGTACAGAATCCCATACACTGCCCATACTACACCCAGCAGCAGGAGACCTGCCCATGTACCGTATATAACATAAACTTCAGGTTCACACCAATATGAAAGAAAGAATTGCATTAACATATAGGAAACGGTTGTGCTTTTGATCTAATGCAACTCACAATTTTAACTATCCAAGTTACACAGAGACGCCAAATTTTTTCCATTGAAAGATAAGACTTGAGAAGCACCAGTTGTTTTTTGGATAACGCTGGAGTACAGAAGTGGATAGTCTATGCTTGATCCTCACCAGTACATACGAGCTAGTGCAGAAGACAAGTGTGACTAAGCCATTACATAACAAAGGCCAGAAGTAAATACACTTACAAACTCTCACAAGTTCCTTAAACATTTCATAAATTAAGTTCTCTTAGAACAAACGAACATTCCATATAGAAAAAGAGTAGGTGCTTTCGAATCTCCCAAGAGAGAGATCCCTTCTGTCCTAGATTAGACCTCTCCCTGTGCTTTTTAAAATAAAACATGAAACTAATTACCACTGGTGTTTAAATCCAACAGAAGAATAATGCTGGAGGGGCCACAAACAGTTTGGGATCTATTTGCAAGGTGCCACATAAATTCAATAAGTAATATACTTTCGGATAAAAATTGTCAAGTTACAACAAAATACCATGACTAATATTTACATAGAGATACAGCTCCTTTATAAAAAGCTAAGCTTCAGGGAAGGAAACTCAAGTAGAGTGTTAAGTGTTACTAAGAAAAAAGGTCAAACAGTAATTTTAGGTATCACAACTCATAAAATCAGAGGCTCTTATATGCCAAATACAGTATGGTCAAAAAGCTACACAACAGGAAAAGCAAAAACAAGTAACAGGGTGGGCTTGGGAATCAAAAATACCGCTTGACTTCATTAAAAGTATTAACGTCGCAGGGTAATATGAGTCTAACACAGATAAGAATATTTCACCTTTTTCAAGGTCTTATTTCTGAAATTCACTCACCGTAACTGCAACAGGGGTTGATTCAGACGGAGCCATGGAGCTTTGGTACGGTATCCTACTATGCACAGAAGTCTGGTCATAGGAGGAAGTTGTTGTTACTGGGCTAATGCTCTGGGATGAGCAGGTCAGACTGGAAGAGGTGATGGCAGAGGTTGTGTAGGTGGACTCCTGTACTGTATTGGATATTGGCAAAGAGGTATTCAAAGGATCACTGGAAAAAGTAAAAATTATTTATCATCTTGGTAAACCACATCTCAAACACCTTCATGAAAGTATCAGCTCCTATAAAGTTATCTAGAACTACCTTAAATATGCAGTCAAGTCTACATTATTTACAGCAGAAAATCTAATCATTAAAAAAATACATAATTTTGCTTTCGTCCCCAGTAATCACTGTCTCCAAATGATCAGCTGCACTAAGCACCATTCACCTTCCTCCTGCCAGCCTAACCAAAACAAGAGTTTACACACAAGCTCTTTTCAGCCACGTTATTTCCGCCTTCTCAAAGGATAAATTAAGGATCATAATCTCTCTTTTTTAAACAACTAGATCCATAAAGTCTGGTATATGATGAGAAACATCCAGTCTCTTTTTACAACAGAACTCTAATGTTACAGTAGCAGTCTAATAGAACGAACTATGCAAAGAGAAAAAATACTTTAAAACACACAGGAGTGTTTCATTTTCTGAACAGCTTAAATCATTTCTAGAACTAGAAATGCATGTAGAAACTAATTTTCACTATTATTTCTGAATTAACTTCAGGAAGCTCTTTACTGAAGCCAGTGTTTGAACGAACAAGGAAGAAAAAGAATGGGTTAATAGTACATTGGCATTTATCCTTGGCTAATTTAGCACTTCAGTAAGAGCTTCCGCATACTGAAAGCCTAGCTTCTTTTCTCATTCCATAGAAGCATTAGATCTGTAATCTGGTGCCAATCTGCTAACACACATATATGGTACAAGGGTCATCTCTCCTGAATCAAAAGCAGAAAAATTCAGGTTGTGAGAAACAAACCTTGAAACAAATTTGAAAACCAGGACAATTACACATGAGAAAGCAATTCCATAAAGGGTAGCTGATTACAAGGTTATTTGCATTCATGTCCTCTCCAGCTTCACATTGACCCATCCAGGGAGATTTTGATTGTCATTAGAAAATAAATTTCTCCTTTAAGATGCTATCCACAGAAAACACTGAGCCTTACAAGTCATCAGATTTCCCCCTCCCATTACACAGTAACTGGGCCTTGATGTTTTTGGCACAAACTTGACCTCCTGAAGAAGACATGTAAGAATGCACAAGGGGAACTCACACGTACTTTACAGATTTTGAGTACAAGCTATTGTTGGTCGCTCGGCTGGTATTCTCACTGCTTGAAGTTGATCCAAACTCTGGGAGTGCAGGTTCCGATCCAAACTCCAGAGCTCCAAACTGAACATTTAACCCTGTCACATCCGCAGATCCAGGCATCTCCACTGCAGAGGCAGGAATCTTAAAGGAGGAGAAAAAAGCCATAATCCCTTTGCATGCACTCTTTGTACTAAAGATACCAGTAACTGACCCTCTCCTCCCTTAACTACGGGTTTCTTCAGTTACCCTCAGCTTTCACTGCTAACTAGATCTGCAACAATGCCCCAGTTTACATCACATGCAGTAACTACATTCTTGTAACCAGTAATTCATTGATTCTGTGCCCTGATGTGGAGCTGAAAGAGTAAGCCATCCTATTCTGCAAGTTCAAAGTGTTATCCATGTCCATCACCCTTCAGCCAATATTCATCTTGTGGCTACTAAGTCAATTCAAGATCACTCAGCAACAGTCATTTTCCACACAGAGCAATCAGATACGTGCTTGGAAAAGACAACATCACTGTATCTTGGACTTAAAATCTATCCAGCTTAGAATTTCCTGCTTTATAAATAAGACATACATCATGGTCTTTGCTCTCCTTCTCCCTAGCAACTTATATACAGAATAGAATCACAGAATCATTTAGGTTGGAAAAGGCCCTTAAGATCAGAGTCCAACCACTAACCTAACACGGCCAAGTCTACCACTAGGTCATATCCCTAAGCACCACATCTACACGTCTTTTAAATGCCTCCAGGGATGGCGACCCCACCACTTCCCTGGGCAGCCTGTTCCAATGCTTGACAACCCTTTCAGGGAAGAAATTTTTCCTAATATCCAATCTAAACCTCCCCTGGTGTAACTTGAGGCCATTTCCTCTTGTCCTATCACTGGTTACCTGGGAGAAGAGGCCGACCCTCATCTCACTACACCCTCCTTTCAGGTCCTTGTAGAGAGCAATCTGGTCTCCCCTCAGCCTCTTCTTCTCCAAGCTAAACAACCCCAGCTCCCTCAGCCGCTCCTCATCAAATTTGTGCTCCAGGCCCTTCACCACCTTCCTTGGACACGCTCCAGCACCTCAATGTCTTTCTTGTAGAGAGGGGTCCAAAACTGAACACAAGATTCAAGGTGCAGCCTCACCAGTGCTGAGTACAGGGGGACGATCACTTCTCTAGTCCTGCTGGCCACACTATTTCCAACACAAGATTTTGCATGTTTTCACATTCACTAAAGTCAAACCACCACTCAATTACCCACCTTGGATGCTGGAGTTATCCTCCGTTTTGGTGGTTTTATCTGTTTCTGCTGGGTTTGATGGGCAGTCACTGCCTGGTTATCCATAGATATAGTAGGGAGCTGTAACATTTTGCTGACAGCTGTAGAGGTGTCTATTGGCGATGGCTCTCGGAGTTTTACCTGGGAGGAGAAGGACTCCAGCCCAGGAGGAGGAACAGGAACTGCCTGCGTTTGTTGTTGCTGTCGCTGGGTTAACTGGCTCAGAACTGGGGATGGTTCAGGCTGGGATTTAAAGTCTGGTCAGTGTTGGGGAAAAGAAACATCAAAATCAAAGCATTAAACTCTGCTATTCATGCTTTTACTCTTTATGAAAGAATCTGAGTGACCTGACATACTGGACACCTATGATTTTATAGCACGTGCAAGTTTCTTTCAGACATCACGAGAGTTTCACATTGAACATTACCACCGCAATAATAAGGCCATTTTATATTCTCTACTTTAAATAAACAGCTGTGGGCAAGCATTATTTAGCTTTCTTCAAAAATATGAAAACAAACCTATCTATACAGTCACATAGTATTATCACACATTAGTCCTCAAAAACTGTTACAGATGATTTTAATCAGTGCAAGTTTCACTGCAATTAACTGTGCAGGTAAAGTGTGATTACCTCCAAGGGGTCTGGAGTTGCAATTTAGAGGTATTATGATTCAGGATTTCCTGCCCCTACCAAGGAGAAGATTTCCACCACAAATAGGAAAGTCATCTACCAACTTAATCTGGCTGAAAGTCAAGAGATGCTGGACACTGACACAGTTTTTTCCCAAGACTTCCCCATTCGTATTTTTCAGATGCTGAAAGCCAAGCAGCAGCTCAGAGCACTTGTCAACAATCGTAAGAGATCTACCGCATTTGCAATATTAAGGGTCTTTTATTCAGTTGGTAAGGTGCATTAGAAAGCAACTTAAAATCTATGTAAACATTTTTTCAGAATTGTTGCCTCTCTAAGATTGTAACTGCTACCAAACTGGCTGCTTATCTATCTGGAAACATATACACATACACGAGACATACAAGAGCTATCACTCTTCACAGTGAGAATACTGCTAGGAACTACAAAGTTTGTGTCATTTTGATTGTTTCTACTAATTTTACTCAATAAAAATGAAGAATCCATACAATTCTAAATAGACAAAATGGTTAACCTGCATCATTCTCAGCACACTAGGGAAATAACACTGAGATGTGATTATGAAGAAATTATATAGTACTCATTCAAAATTCATGTTATAGATGAGAAAAATTTGGGGGAAAAAAAAAGACAAAACATGGTACAACCTTATACTCAGCTAGAAGCAGCACAGGCACAATGAAAATATGTATTTTCCAGGATTTGTTGAGAAAGAAAGTCACATTACAGTTCCACTTAAGTATTCAAGCACATCAAATCAAAGATTTCATTACATGAAGGCTCAACAACTTCTAAAGACGCATTTAGGGATAGGCTTAAGCCTATCAAAACTTAGTTTGTGATATACTTGCAATGTCTATCACCAGCAAGTAAGTGTAACTCTTACAATGCTGTAACCAATTGTATTATTAGGATTACGTTTTTCAGAAAAAGTCTTTCATCAAGGCCATTTTAAATTGTCATTGGCATTAAGAAATCTTATGGGCTAATAGAGAAAGAGAGAGAAAGCTATGTCTAAGCACTTACCAAACTGACTGAGGACTGAGGACTGGGTAATGGGTGGTTTTAGATCCCAGGATGATGTCGTAGTTGTGGTAGTGGTGGTAGGGCTATTATTGTTTTGTTGAGAGGTAAACTGACCCAATCCTGGAGTTTTCAGCTGGTCCAAGATTTGGGATCCAGCAGAGTTTGCCAATTTAGAGGACCCGAGTTCTCCAAAGCCAGAACAAAGAACTGCAGACTAGCAAAAGACAAAAAAGAAGAGAGGGAGGAGTGGAGTTAAGTATTTAATAAATAATTTGAACATAACCATAGGGTAAACGCCTGCAGCTGCAATTTGGCAGCAACTAAAACCTCTTCAGCCCTAGATTACTAACAAATGACCAATGAAAAATTCAGCAGTTGTAGCATATGGCCAGATCCTCTCCGATTATCACAGATACAACTTCTACCACTGGGATTGCAACAATACCAATTTACTTGAATCCATGCATCTCAAAATAGTATACATTTACTAACAGCCAAACTGATTTTCAGAGAATAAATACAAGTGCCCAATTCCAAGTCCTCACAATTGACTCAGAAATAGGCAGGTTTCCACAAAAAGTAGTCAGGTATGTGCTTGGAAATAACACATCATAGTTTTCCAGCATAGAACTCTCTGTTATAAACAAATTATTTCATCCTAAATCAGTATGCAGTAAACACATCTGCTCTCTACTCAAAAATCAATACAAGTACTTCACGTAAACTGAGAAACAACTACTTACAAAAAACAGGAAAAAAGTAATCTTTTTTGTGTGTGTGTGTCTGAATGGAAGAAATAGAATTCTCTAATTCCATTTCTTCAACATTTGCAATCTGAATTTTAAAAATACCGAAACATCTCATGAAACGGCCAGTACTGGAAAAGTTGTTTAACCTGAAATATTTACTCATGAAGAATATTTAGAAAGCAGAAGATAATTTTACCAGACTTTGAGGAGAATAAGAGTTTACAGCACTGGAGCTTCCAGTTCCTGATGCCATCTGGGTGCTATGCTGAGAATTTGTGAAGACCAGGGCTTGGCCAAAGGTCTGCTGCTGGGGAGCCTCAAATGAGTTGCCTTCTGTCTCCTGGGCAGAAGTCACAGGTTTTTGAAGCAGTGTTACCAAATCGATGCTGTAAGAAAGAAACAAAGTTTGGCTTGAATACACCTGATGATGAGGCTGCGCTGAAGCTGAAGCAAGCACCAACAATACTAAAGCTGCTCTACTGGCAATAGAATTATTACCGATTAAAAGTCTTACCAAATATTGCTTATCTGTCATACAAAAAGAGGTAAAATTGATGTTTCTGCCAGAAAGTAATATTCCACTGGCTGAAAACTTCCACTACAGTTAGAATATAAATTATCTATGCACTCTTTTCAAACATTAGCAGATTTATAACATCATGTATCACATAAATAACCTATATGATCAATATAACCAAGTAACTGGAGATAAGTCATAAAAGATACCTTATGTTCAAGTGGATCATGCCTGCAAGCCCATTATACATACTGAAAATTCACATTCTCTATATAACACATGATCCCTTTAAAACAAGCAAAGGATCAAAATCCTACCTCTGTATACAGTATGTATGAGGACAGTAAAGAATAAAGTCACACATGCAGCGATTGAGAGAATATGTGATGTCATGGAAGTCACAAGAGCAGCAGAAATAAAAGCTAATTTTCTCAGATAGTAGGCAGGTATACAGAATTACTCTACCACACATACCTGAGCAGGATGAGAAACATGAATTTTCTTATATTTAGCATGGTTTACTAACCCCTACGACAAGTTCAGCACAGCTTACTAACCCCTACCACATGTTTAGCATAGGTTTATCCAAGGAAAAGCGGTACAGCAGTACAGCTGTATCAGGATGTTTTGGACCCTCAGGCCACCTAGTTTTCAGATCTCATGCTATGCAACTACAGAAGTCTTCATCACACAATTCCACAACATCATTGGCCAGGCATCTGGTGAAGACAAAGGCAAGCAAAGGAAAGCAGCAATTCCCACATTTTTAGGTCTCTACCTGAACTCTGTGTCATCAGTTAAGGCAAGTAATTGTGAAGCTTACCACGAAATTTCACCTTCTTACCAACACAAGTTTTTCTGTTACAATGTCTGTCAAAGCCCTACATTCTGAATACTTTCTGCATCTACGGGGCAGGCTTTCCATTTTCTGGACAGCAAAGCCAGAGCTTCCTTTTAAGCAGTAGAAACCTTTTCTTCCCAGCTACTTTCGTTCCTGCCTGTAAGCAGCCTTTGTGCAGAAGACAGGGTCTTCTCAGTATTATGCCTGTGGATTTGTTAAGTCTAGCTCCACTTCTGTAGTCAATAACAGGTAACACAGGAACGCACAAAACCAACGACTTACAAGCAAGGCTTTTGCAATTTTGAAATTAGCTTGACCAATCTCTGACCAGGGCTGCCCTGTGTTTTATTTAGCATTCTATGCGTGCAAGCTAGCATCGCTTCACCAAGTAGGTTTTTAAATATAGGGAAAACGTGGAAGAAGACCTTACCTTTGCCCAGGAGTCACATGATTCTCAGCTGGAACAGAGGAAGCAGTGAAGACTTTTGTTTCAGAAAGCTGAAAAAGAGAAAGGCAGGGAAGAAAGGTATTTTAATCAAATATGTGCTCAAATTTACTGTTGCAACATCTGCAAAAATTCCACCTTGGTCATGCACTTTGAAAACAAAGGTAAGTCAAACTACCTCTACAACCAGTTATGCTGGAGGACAGGGAAGTGATTTGAGACAGCCAGCATGGCTTCACCAAGGGTAAGTCCTGCCTGACCAACCCAGTGGCCTTCTATGATGGAGTGACTACAGCAGTGGACAAGGGAAGACCTACAGACATGGTCTATCTGGACTTCTGTAAGGCCTTTGACACAGTCCCCCACAACATCCTTCTCTCTAAATTGAAAAAATACAGATTTGATGGGTGGACTGCTTGGTTTATGAAGAATTGGCTGGGTAGTCACATCCAGAGGGTAGTGGTCAATAGCTCGATGTCCAGATGGAGATCAGTGACAAGTGGTGTCCCTCACGGTTCCGTATTGGGACCAGTGCTGTTTAATATCTTCATCAACGATATAGACAGGGGGATCGAGCGCACCTTCAGCAGGTGTGCAGATGACACCAAGGTGAGAGGTGCAGTTAACATGCCTGAGGGACAGGATGCCATCAAGGGGGACCTGGACAGCTCAAGAAGTGGGCCCATGTGAACCTCATAAGGTTGAACAAGGCCAAGAGCAGGGTCCTGCACCTGGGGCAGGGCAACTCCCAGTATCAGTACAGGCTGCAGGATGAAAGGACTGAGAGCAGCCCTGCCGAGGAGGACTTGGGGTTACTGCTGGATGAAAAGCTGGACATGACCCAGCAATGTGCACTCGCAGCCCAGAAATGTAATCGTATCCTGGGCTGCATCAAGAGAAGTGTGGCCAGCAGGTGGAGGGAGGGGCTTCTGCCCCTCTACTCCGCTCTGCTGAGACCCCACCTGGAGTACTGCATCCAGCTCTGGAGCCCTCAGCACAGGAGAGACATGGACAGTCCAGAGGAGGGCCAGGAAGATGATGAGAGGGCTGGAGCACCTCTTCGATAAGGAAAGGCCAAGAGACTTAGTTTTCTTTACCCAGGAGAAGAGAAGGCTCTGGGGAGACCTTATTGTGGCCTTTCAGTACTTAAAGGGGGCTGAGAAGAAAGACGGCAAATGACTTTTTAACAGGGCCTGTAGCAACAGGACAAGGGACAATGGTTTTCAATTGGAAGAGATTCAGACTAGATACAGGCAAGACCTTTCCTGCCATGAGGGTGCTGAAACACGGCGGCAGGCTGCCCAGAGAGGTGTCAGATGCCCCATCCCTGGCAACACTCACGCTCAGGTGTGACGGGACTCTGAGCAACTTGAGCCGGTTCAAGATGGCCCTGCTCCTTGCTGGGCGGTTCGACCAGATGACATTTTAAGGTCCCTTCTAACCCAAACTATTCTATGATTCTATGATTGCATGCTGTGGCTCTGCTTAAAAAGACAAAAACACGTAGTCTAACTTCAGCAAACTTTTCTCCACAGAATCAAGCACCACTTTAAAATGTTAGGAAATTTTATCTAATGAACACACGCAACAGTAGACCAATGTAACTACATCAGTCTAAGCAATAGTTTAACTGAAAAATACACCAGTAGAAAACAATTAAGGTGATAGCTGGTATATCATCAGTGTAAAGATACCCGGTACAGCCATAATTTAGGATGTCATAGCACAGCTCTGAAAAATCTTGTTCCAGAAGTCTAGCACATTGCACCATTCCCACTCATTTCATACATCGCTGTGTTTTACATTTCAGCTGACATCACCAGTGGAGGCCTGTTTGCACTCAGGAATGTACAGTGAACTGGCATTCGTGGTTCCTTCTTGGGGTTAATGCTAGGAGTGGCAACAATATCTTGAACTGATTGCCATGCGAGCATGAGTTTGAAAACAATCATAAAGGGAGAATCAAGTAATTGCTTATACTAATATAACCAGTCAGACCATCCACAGCAGAAAACTGTACTGCTTTCATCATGTTGTTACAATAAAGATAGATACTTGCACAGGTAGCTGGGGACAGGGAGCTGGTTGGTTTGGGTTTTTTGGGGAAAGGGGTGATTTTAGTTTGTAGGGGGGTTGCTTGTTTCCTGTTTGGTTTGGGGTTTTTTTAACAGCTTTTGTAACTATTTTTAAAAATGGTAGTTAAACAGCTACGACTCCCTAGGGTTAATTAATTTCTATTGACAGGAATACTTGCAAACCAGTATAGGTCTTAAGCCAGTACAGGTTAGGTTTAACAAGATAAAGATATGCATGTATAATTATCCAGTTGGAGATGTCCCTGCTCACCGCAGGGGGGTTGGACTAGATGACCTCTAAAGGTCCCTTCCAGCCCAAATGATTCTATGATAATGGTTATATTTTAAATGAATTTTGTACAAAATCACACCTAACTACTTTAGTGCAGCTTTGCATTTACAATAAAGAACAGTCGACCTATTCAAACACTCAGAAAGAATCCTTTTAGAACGTGACGTTGAATGCAGCTCTTGCAGGAAACTATGCATTTTTAATTGCATACATTGCTAGCAGCCCAGTTTAAAGGACATCACAGACATGAGCCGGTTTCATGCAGTTTCGAGTGCCAGTTTTGAGTGCACCCTCAGTCAGTTTGCAGACAACACCAAGCTGGGTGGGAGTGTTGATCTGCTTAAGGATAGGAAGGCTCTGCAGAGGGATCTGGACAGGCTGGATCGATTGGCCAAAGCCAACTGTATGAGGTCCAACAAGAACAAGTGCCGGTTCCTGCACTTCGGTCACAATAACCGAAGGTGAGGAGAACAGGAAAATACACTTCAGCATCCTCATAGAAACTCAACATCAACAAATCAGAAACAACAAAACCTTATTACTGTTTTGATATGATGTACTGAAGTTAAAGAAAATAAAATAAGTTCTCACGTTGCTTCTTGGTAAAGGAAACACTCCCACTAAAATACACTTTTTTTTTCTTTTTAAAGTATTGCTGTTGTTTGAAATAAAGACTACGACTATTGTACAGGAAATGTTTGCCTTCATGCACTTTACAATACTTTGCAAGTATTCTATTTCTTTCCTTCTGATAGTTTCTGTAGTTAAACTTTATCTTCTTTAGCCGGGAGAACATGATCACAATTTTAACGGGAAAACTCAGAGCCACCTATAGTACCTCAACATTCACCTAGTCCATGCCCTGAATATCCCTTTAACAAAATACAACTTCTTGTTTTCACTGCAACCTGCTTCCACTCCACTTAAAAGCATGCTGACAACCTACTATACTTGCTCAGTACTCACTACTCAGAACTATTATATCACAAAAATCTAATCCTTCTCAGGTCAAACAACATTAAATTTCACTCACTTGGTCCTAACTTGTATCTGACTAGAGACCACCATATTTAAATAAAAATATTCTTCAGAAAAGCACCTGATCTTTATCTGTAGATATCAAATACATCAGCTTCCTTGGTTGCTTTAATCATTAGTCATGCTGCTAGAATTGTTTGTTTATTATACATTTAAATGCACAGCTCCATTTCCCAGCCACAGGTTCATATTATGCATTTGTCTGCTAGACTAAAACCAGAGCCCATTATATGCTAATAAAATAACCTTTTCAGACTCAGTAAACTAAAAATCTCACTCTGATGGACTTCTATCAGTAAATAATTTTGAGCTATTTTCCACATTTTTGTTTTGTAAAAGCGATGAATAATTGGATGCAACACTTCAAAATCAAGTTCAAGAGAGTCCACACACAGAAACATAAACCAAGAATGCTTAAGCGACAGGAAAG